CCCCAGATACACACACTACTTACTTTAACAACCCGCTTCTGAAAGGGCTGCTGCTACCTGTATGAGTGTGACTGTTTAGACTTGTGTTTGTTTTAGAATTTAGATTTTATGTCCTTTATCCCCATTTATTGTTACGATTTTTTACTGCTCTTTTTAAAACGTTTTCTTTTTAAATTGTATTGACTATTGCCTGTAGAGGCTGGTGAGAAACAGTGTTTCAGCCTGGGTAACACCAATGACAATAAACTTGAAACTAATAGACTATAAAGATGGAAAATTAAGGAGAAGAGCATTACAGGACATCCAGGCCTTTATACGTTTAATACATGCCTGTGTTGCTGTTTGTATCACTTGGCTTCATGTATAAATAAAGAGAAGGGTATTACCTGCACTGTTTTCAATGATACAGCCTAAGGGAATCATGTATACTATAGAAACTGTTGGTCGCAGCAGAGAACCCAGTGAAACTTCACACCAACTCTTTTGAAGAAGAGGACGCCCTATTTACATGAATAAACTGTAAATTATCAGATGGTTATGATTGATCATGTGTAGCTTAAATGCTGAAATAAATCTGTCTTGGACCATTGTCAGAGCTGTTCCTCTACGTCTTATTTGCTAAATGCAACAAAATATGGTATTACTCTAATGACATGGCAAAATTAAAATACTAAATCATCATTTTTAAAATCCATTGCAGAGAAGTTACATTTGGTCAAAGATTTAAATTATTTCCACTTATTAGTGACATCAGTAGGCTCATAAGTCATATTCCTGAACCTTACAGTGAAGGCTGTGTCGTCTCATTGTGAGGCTTAAGAACGTGACACATCAGCTTATTGATGTTACTGATAAATAGACATTATTTTGGTAGGTCGCTGAGCCCTGCTGTTTCAGTCTGCTTTGCCACTGATGCAGTGGACAAACGTGACAGGCAGGGGGCGCTGAGGTAGAGCTTGAAAGAAGCCGTCTCCTTTGTTAAACATTTTAACAACAGTTAAAAGATGCACATTTAACACGATCATTTCAAACCATGTGACATTCAAACGGTGATTGGTTACATTCAAAGGTTGGAATTTACCTTTAAAACAAGGAAATAAAACTAAGGTTACAACGTCACCAAAGCTGTGTTACAGAGCTGATTCAGTCACAGTCGTCATAAGTTTTATTTCCTGTTTAAATGAAAGTCAGAGCAGACAAACACGGGCTGATCCCGACACGAAGACAAAACTCTTATTATGAAAGGTTTGACCGGAACAGCCTTCTTGACCGTGGTTAACCCGGTGCGAGTCTGACGTGAGAGCGTTGTTTGTGGAGTGTTTGGCTAACCCGGGGCACAGAGTGTAACTCTGCCGGTGGAGGGGGCTTTTTCTACCGTCAGGCTAACCGAGCGCGGTCGGAGGCACACCGGGGAAAGACGACGAGCCGGGTCCAGGTGCTGTTTACCGTCCAACTAACCCGGGATCGTTTGTGTTGCAGTGGCGCTTTCCTGGTCTTTCTGTGGTAAACGCGTGTGCTCTGATGTTTCACGGTAAGTTGGTGCGAAGGTGCCTGTGCTCCTCCACCATGCCAGACTCCACTTTAAAATCTTCCCATTTAAGGAGCGCTTGTTGTAGCACAAGAAGTTAACGCGTGTGGCGCAGGATACACGAAAGAGTTTCA